CTCATTGAAATGGAGGAAGACGCCCGGCTGTATGTGCATGGCCGGGCATTAGCCTATGCTCTGGCGATCTTTCTGTATAATCTGCAGTATTTGCATTTGTCCGGGGTATTTTTTTTGTAGCCGAATCCCCACACACAGCCCTGTTGCTGATCCAGATGCAGAGTATAGAAGTATTTGCAGCCACGGATGAAAATTCCACATGAATGCCTTCGCAACAAAACACAATTGCGGTGCTAAATCTTTGCTCCCCGTGGCACAGACATCGCGGCGTCACCCACGGCCAGCCACAGCCGGAGCAACAGGAAGCCCAACTGCGCTCCACACACAGGGTTGGATTGCAGTGCGCACTGTTGTCTGCCTCACCATGAGCGCCGTGTGCGTAACTAGACAAAGGACGTGGGCGCAGGTACTCTGGATGTACTCCGCAGGTCACTGACCACGCAGCCACCAGTGAGCGAGGGACCCCAAAGTGAGGCGGGCGGTACATTGCATGGACCGTACGTGGACAGACCACCTTTTTACCATTTTACCATATATACCATTTTTATATTCGTCCTCATCAGGCCAACAATCCGCGCCGAGTTGAGCTGCGGCGGTCTGGCTCAAGTAACACTACTCGTTCTTCTGGGAGAAGGCCACCATTCACGTCCGCAGAGACTCCTCCTGTCAGGTTCAAGATACAACCACTGCCGTTGCTCTTCTCTTCTCAGCGCAGATTACTGATAGCGGTTCTAGATCTCGATCTCCAGACCGTGTTGAAATGCAGCTAGCTGCAGAACAGCCTCACAATGAATGGCAGCGGGGGATGAGATCCAAGCAATGGAAGCCAGCCCTGATTTACGCATCTCGCTGTCCGTAACTACATCGAGTGAGCTTCCGCGTCGAATCCGGCGCTTAGCCCTGGCTGGGACCCTGGTTGGGGCCTTGCTGCGTGGCCAATTGACCGCCCGCAGTTGGTTGAATATTTTCCCTGTTGGTGCCCTAAATAAACTAACAGAGAGATCAGGC